GTTAGCCAGGATGGTCTCGATCTCCTGACCTCGTGATCCGCCCGTCTCGGCCTCCCAAAGTGCTGGGATTACAGGCTTGAGCCACCGCGCCCTGCCCAAAATTTTTTTTTAAAGAAAAATAATATTTCACATAGAGTATTTAAAAAGTATATATTTGATCAACCAGAGAACCATGCTCACAGGCCAAATGGATGTGAGAGGAGCCTGTTCCAGAGAGTCCCAGGGAGTGCCTGGGACGGGGCAACCCAGCATGGTACAAGGGGTCTCAGGTCAGGCTGCTGGGGTGGGCCTGACTCTGGAGGCCTGTGCTTTATGACGGGTCAGTAGTTCCTGTGACTGGCCTCGGTGCACCTTGAGACCCTCATCTGTAACGTGGGATCCCAGAGCACCCAACGCTGAGGGTGGTGTGTGAATCAGGCAAGATGGCCCTCGCTGGAGGCTGGCTGTCGACGGCAGGCTCTCCCTGCATCTGCAGGCCCCCGGGTGAGTGTGCAGATGGGGGCCCAAGTGGCACATGACTGGGTTTAACGTTATGGAATATTACTAATAATATGTTTTATTTTCATGCTTTGACAAACACGTACTTTTATGTCGCTCTAGTGGGCCGGGTTTGAACTGAGAACTTCCTGGTTGGTCGCTCAGAATTCTCTGCTGATTTGGACCACATTGGAGAGCTGGCCCCAGCCCTCAGCCTGGTCCCCTTATCTTTAGCAGCTCCTGTCTGCACCACGGGGCCCTGTTTGAACACAGTGGACATCTGACTCTTTACATCCAAGCGGTCACCCTCCCCGAGCTGGCGGGAGCACACGTGCTGGTGGTGAGGCCTTGCTGCAGGGAGGCGGTGGGGCCCACATCGCTGGGTGCAGGCCCAGGGCTCAGAGAGTTCCAGGGTGGGCGCCCGGAGGGAGGCCTACAACACAGAGGCAAACCTCCTTGACCTTGCACGAGGCTCACTCTATGGGGGACGCTGGGGGAGCCCGACCCAGGGACCCCCTGGCTTGAATCAAAGGCTGACAGTGCTTCCAAGTGAGGTAAGGTGGAGCTGTGGTGGGGTGGAGCTGTGGTGGGGTGGAGATTGGTGGGGTGGAGATGTGGTGGGGTGGAGATTGGTGGGGTGGAGATGTGGTGGGGTGGAGCTGTGATGGGGTGGAGATGATGTGGTGGGGGGGTTCACTCCCTGGAAATCTTGCCGTGCACCCCTGTTTAAGAATCACTAATTTATCAGTTCTCTTTCATGCAGTACACATATATTAAGTGTCAGCTGCATACCATCCATTGTTCTTGGCTCTAGGGACACAAAGAGCTAGACTCTGCCCTAAATAGCTGTCCCAGAGTGCCACAGATAGGGTGACAGCAGTGGGCACAGGCCTGGTGGACATAGAATTCCAGCCAACTTCCAAGGAGGGACAGGGCCTATCCAGGAGAGAGGAGATGCAACCTGTTCCACTTTTGGCAAAGCCCAGCAGGGGCTCCTAAAGTGGGAAGGAGAGTGGCTCAAATGCTAACAGGCTCCATGACCAATGCACATGTGCTCATCCCACCGTTCAGAGGGCCTGGAAGCCCCAGACACAGGAGCCCACCCCTCGGCAGCTCTTTTCCCGGGGCCTCCACTGGGCTTTGGTGAGAGAAACCAGAGTGGGATAAGGACCAGAGCAACCTCTCCTGGTGCAGGAGTGCAGATGCGGCTGCTGTACTTCCCAGTCTGAGCTCCCCTGCAAGGCCAGGCCACTCCCCACAGGTACCAGAGGAGTGTGACAGCCTAGAGGGAGCCCCGGGGTCACTGAGAAAGCCTCAGGCCCAGGTTCAGGGGGCCTGACCAGGAGCGGGACTGGACCAGGAGAATCTGGCATCTCCCCAGCCTCCACCAGGAGAAAAACACTGAATGCCAAGCCAGAGCATGGAGGGAGGCCTCCTCCGGGGCCAGCCAAGCAGGGACAGGAGAGCTGAGGATGGAGCAGGAGCGGGGAGAACCCCTCGCCCCACAGACACCCACACAATGCAGTACTGTGCTGCAATAAGGGGGAATGAAGCACTGACGCGTGCTAGACAGGATGAGCCTGGACAGCAGAGTGCGAGTGAAGGATGCCAGGCACAGGGGGGCGCATGCTGTATGAGTCCATTTCTACGAAAGGAGCAGGAGAGAAAGCAGAGAGAAAGTAGAGGAGGGCTGTCAGGGGCTGGGTAGGGTTGGGAGAGTGGCAGGTGCAGGTGAGGGTGGTGAGGTTTCTTTTTGGGTGATGAAAATGTTCTAACATTGATTGTGGTGATGGGTGCACAAATCTGTGACTATATTAAAAACCATTGAATGCTTGAAATGGGTCAGTTGTGTGGTAGGTGAGCTCAGTAAAGCTCTTAAAGAAAAACAACCATCTGACAGCCCAGAGTCAACATAAATAAAGCCCAGGGTCACAGCAGCTGCTGCTGGAGGGGATTTTGCCTGTGAGGGCGACTACCACCACCATACAACCCAAGCCCAGCTCACCACCGGCGAGATCGACTCCAGCTCTCACACTGATGTGATGTCCATACAAGACAAGAGGCATGCCCATTTCCAGGCATCAGTATCATTCATCCCAATCTCTTCTGTTTTCCTCTACAGAAGTTATAGGAAAAGGCAAGAGAAAACCCAACCTATTGTTGGGAGACAGCAATGAGCAGAACCAACCCCAGGCCTGGCCCAGATGTTGGAACTATCCAATAGGACTTTAAAACAACTATGACAAACATGTTGACGATCTAGTGGAAAAGTGGACACCATACGTGAACAGATGGGGAATGGCAGCCAAGACAGAAAGTATAAAATGCATGGAAGAGATTTTAGGAGGAGGATGATGGCACCATGTGGAAGATGGGAGGACACAGAGGTGTTAGGACAGTACAGCTGGCTCTCGGTGTTCTTGCGGGATTGGTTTCAGGATCTCCTTTGGATGCCAAAATCCAAGGATACTCAAGTCCCTTATATAAAAGGGCTTAGCATTTGCTTCTAACCTGCTGTATACTTTAAATCATCTCCAGATTACTTATACCTAACACAATGGAAATGCTATGTAAATAGTTATGCTGTATTGTTTAGGGAATAATGACAAGAAAAAAAGCCCATATGTGTTCAGTAGAGATGTAATTTTTTTTCTGGGTATTTCCAATCCACGGTCAGTTGAATCCATCGATGTGGAACCCACAGATACAGAGGGCCAGCTGTGCTGCTAGAGTGGGTAATGACAGGGATGGCTGTGACAGAGCTTTGTCATTCAAGGAGGGTCTTGGTATTTGTTCTTGTTTCAATTTTAGCAAAATTGATATTGCTTGGATAGAAGCTCCTGTCAAACTGATGTCTTATCTTTCTTAGTGCCTCAAACTCAATCTTATTCAGACATGTTATAACAAGTTCATGTGAGTTTATTTTGGTGTAAAAACATTCTGAAATCCATGCATAGTTTTTTCATAATACACATTCTCTATGAGCCTTTTGAAGACAGTTTGCCTCTTACATTGATTTAAGACCAACTGACAGGTGAGCAACAGTTTGAGGAATTTGGGGAAGGGTGACTGGACTCTGAGTGTAAATTCTGATGGAGAGGAATGGAGGGTGAGCTCCAGCTGGAGGGCCCATCCTGTGCTGGCCCTGGTCACTTCCCAGCCTTCCAGCTCCCCGGGAACCACTCTCCCCAGCTGCCCTGGGCACTCCCAGCCAGGGCAGGAAGCATCTGTCTGGGAAGTCCGGCCACTGCCTTCTGGGCTATGATCTGGGGCAACAGTGCCTCCTATGGCAGGGAACACCCAGGACAATGTCCTTAGAGGCCTGCAGAGTCATTAGATTTTCAGTTATTACCATTTTTAAAATGAGTTAAGTCCTTCCAGGCTCAGAATTTCAAAGGACAGGAAGCACCTCTGGTTTTACTTTAAGAAGCAGGAGCCTCAACTTCACAAAGACTTGAGGTGGCCTCTCTGGGAGGCCCTGCCCAGTGTGAGCTGCAGGGCGGCCCCAGAGGAGTTGCCTCCACGGGCCTCCTTCCTGTGATGATGAGTCAGGAGGTGGTGGGGCACGAGTCCTGCCGTATCAGCGGTCACACGCAGGCAACTCTCAACCAAAGCCTCGAGATCAGTGGCCTGGCCCCAGCATGGGCCACTTTTTGCGCTAGGAAATATTGATTGATCCCTTTTGTTGTTTTTGTTTTTCTAAATCTTTGAGGACAATTGTGGATAATTGATATTATTAATAACAGTAATAATGTTAGTAATAATTGATGTTATTATTATTATTTTTTGAGATGGCGTTTCGCTCTTGTGGCCCAGGCTGGAGTGCAATGGCATGATCTTGGCTCACCACAACCTCCGCCTCCTGGGTTCAAGCGATTCTCCTGCCTCAGCCTCCCGAGTGGCTGGGATTACAGGCATGTGCCACCATGCCCGGCTGATTTGGTATTGTTAGTAGAGACAGAGTTTCTCCATGTTGCTCAGGCTGGGCTCAAACTCCCGACCTCAGGTGATCTCCCCTCCTCAGCCTCCCAAAGTCCTGGTATTATAGGCGTGAGCCACCGTGCCCAGCCTTGCATCGAGCTATTAATGTATGCATTACCTCACATACTTATTCTTTTGTGACAAGAACACTCAAACTCTATTCTCTTAGCAATTTTCAGGAACACGATACATTGTTACTAAGCACAGTCACCATGTTGTAACAGCTCTCAGCGACTTATTCCTCCTATTACTGAAATTGTGTTTCCGTTAACCAACATCTCGCCACCCCATTTCATCTCTTATAAGACGATAGTGAGCATCTATCCATGAAGTACACAATGAAGAATAAATATTTGTGTAGAGAGTGCAGCAAGTCCAGTCTGTAACACGTGATCTGACAACTGTCTCATGCTAAGGGGCTGGCTGTCCTGTACAACAGTTCAGCATACGGGGTGCATATCCCACGCACAGCTGTGATGGGGTGCTTTTCCCTGCGGAGCATGACCCTTCTGTCTTCAGTGTGTTTTAGTGGGAAGGGCTCTGAGTGAGGTGACAGGACCCTCGGCTTAGTCCCTGATGAACCCCTAACTAGCTGTGTGGCCTCTGAGCCTCAGCGTCTTCCTCTGCAACACTGGGGGGTTGAATCAAGCCACATGTAAGGAGCCCAAACTCCTGGGCTGCCCCAGAGCCCCACTGTCACACGCCCCAACACATTTGTGGACTTTCAACCTCCACCCCCGCAGCCTGGCCCCTGGTCTTGAACACATGCTGACAGGGACTTGTGGCTGAAGCAGGAGCTGGGAGGAGGGGAGAGAAGCTCCAGGATGGGCAGGGGGAGCCAGGTGAAGACCAACTCTGGAATCTCCCAACCCAAGACTTAGGGTGGGAGCAGGTGAAGTAAGGAAAGACACCCTCACCCTGGGAGTTTTGAAAGCAGCAGAAACAGAACAACTCTCTTACACATGTTTGAAAATGTTCTTTTATTACCTTTGGGGCTCACGTGTTTGAAAATACTCTTGGGGCTTACGTGTTTGAAAATACTCTTTTATTACTTTTCCATTAAAAAGTAATAGATGAGGCCGGGCGCAGTGGCTCAAGCCTGTAATCCCAGCACTTTGGGAGGCCGAGACGGGCGGATCACGAGGTCAGGAGATCGAGACCATCCTG